TGGATTCAGCTGCCAATGCCTCCCTAGGTCTGAACCAATGGATTCAGCTGCCAAGGCCTCCCTAGATCTGAACCAATGGATTCAGCTGCCAATCCCTCCCTAGATTTGAACCAATGGATTCAGCTGCCAATCCCTCCCTAGGACTGGACCACTGGAGTCACTCCCAGCTCAGGGGCTCCCTGCTTCTCTGCAGGCAGGCCCTGTCTCACCTGTGCAGGAACTTCTCGTAGCTCTGGCGGTAGGCGAAGCCGGCGCGCCGCACGCGCACGTTCTCCAGCAGCCCCAGGTACTCCACCTGGTGCCGGCAGCGCTCCTCGTCAAACAGCTGAGGGGACTTCTTGTCGTTGGGCTTGATGCAGCGCACGTAGTAGGGCTCCTGGGGACAGAGGAGAGCAGTGTCACCCTGGCAGACACCCTGTGTGGGACACAGCCCTTCCTGCAGCAGCTCAGCCCACCACGTGTGTTTTAACCTGCTCAGCACAATCCGGTTAAAACAGAAGTGACAATAACGGTGTTTAAGGAAAGTCTGGGTGTGGCGCTCAGCGCCATGGTCTGGGTGACAAGGTGGTGTCACAGACATCTTTTCATAAAAATCCTTTCTTTAGGATTTTTCCCCCTTCTGAGAAGCTGTGGCCTCAGCAACAAAATGTAAACAATGGTTATCTGCTGCTGTGGGATGTAACAGGTGCATCTGGGATTGGTCTTGGGTGAATGGTTGGATTTACTGACCACGCATGGCAGAGCTGGGTCTCACTCTGTGCTGAGACACAGACCTTTGTTTATTCATTCCTTTTCTATTCTTAGCTTAGCTAGCTTCTGAGAACTTTTCTCTCTATTCCTTTTAGTATAGTGATAATGTAATATATATCATAACCTAATAAACCAAGCCTTCTGAACATGAGGCCAACATTCTCGTCTCTCTCTTCACCCTGAAGACCCTTGCAAGCCCTGTAACAAGGCGGTGTGACGGTGTTCACAGGATGAGGGAAGAGATGATTTTGCAAGACAAAAACCCCAACACATTTCTAGTTCTCTGAGCATCTCATGCAGCCAGGGCACTGCAGTTCAAGTGGGAATGTGAGTCAGGGCAAAAGAGAAGAAGAAAAATCAAAAATGCAGCAAATGTGACTCAGAGGAATTGTGGGTTTAGCCTAGAAGGACCAAGGAGGCACAGAATCCCTCTGGTGGGAGATTTTGTGTATTTAAAGGATAGATATGAGGAAATGCAAACATTCAGCTTTAGGACAAAGGAGTCAGGGTTTTAAGCACAGTATAAAAATTCAAATTAAGCTTCAGGAAAACAAGGAGTGAGAACAAAATGCCTGTGGGAAGGAGGGAACATCCATCAGTGGGGAGAAGAGCCTGCAAAAGGAAGATACAGGCAGAGGTGTCCTCAAACAGGAGGTGAATTTGGTGCACTCCCAAGGTCCCCCTCAGCCTTATTTTCTATGATTTGTCTATTCAGCCTTATTTCTATGATTTGAGGTCACTTACCCAATCTCAGGATAATATGAAGGGTCCCAAATTGTCCTTTCCCTTCAGCAATGCTGAGGGAACAGGATCATCCATGGCTGTCCTGGCTAGTCCTGACACAACCTGAAGCTTTGCAGCCCCTGGACCAGCCCAGGGATGAGTGTGAGCCATGAATGAGCCAAGAAAGGCAAACCTGGGAAAGCAGAGCCTCCCATCCTGAAAGCTGCCACAAGCCACTGCATTTCCACGTTGGATAAATCCCTTTTCCAACCCAGAGATGGGGTCAGACCTACCCTGTGCTGCAGCTGGTGGCAGGATAATTATAAACCATCTCAATCCCTGGAAGGGGTTGATATCACAAATATTCCACAGAATTGCAAAGCCTTGGGAACAGAGAATCCAAATTAAAGCACCATGGAATGGTTTGGGTTGGAGGGGATTGTGAAGATCACCCAGAGCCTGGCATGATCCACAATCCCAGGTGGCTCCAGAATTTGCAGAGATGGGGCAGCCCCAGCTTCCCTGGACATGTCATCAGGAGCAGGAATGCCAGAAGTGTCACTTGTTCACTGCTGACACAGCAGCAGCCAGGGCCCAGCTGCTCCCCACAATGCCACAGAATCCCCCAGCACAGCTCTGCCACTCCCAAATGCAAAACCCCTCAAAGTCCCTCAAAACCCCTCAAATCTGTGCCTTCAGGTCCAGCACAAAGAGCAATGACTGTGCCTGCATTTCACATAAAAAGGCTGAAATCCTTTGGAAAGCAGGAATGGGAAGTGCCTGCACAGACAGGAGATCATCTATCAGTGCAATTACAGTGTAATTAAAGCCTCTCAGAAACGACAGCTCCTGGAGTAAATTCTAAAGTAGATTATTCCATGCTTCCAAATCCCCAAGCCCCAGTCTTCAGGGGGATAATTATGCAGCTCCCATTCTTGCTGTCAGAGAACTGCAGTTTGTAAAGGAAGAACTGAAATGCAGGGACACAAAGGCCCCAGCTCTGAAAGCTCTTTGGATGTCTAATTGCAGCTGATTTTATTTTTTTTCCATCAAGCTGAGCGACTTTTAGATTTTTAAGTGTTAAAAAAGAAACGAAACCAGTTTTAAACCATTGCACCCTAAACATACTCTGTCTTGAGGGGTTTCTTTTCTGTACTTTATAGCTCCTTACATGAGAGAGGGGATGGGACAGAACAGACAAATTGTGCTGGATGTGTCCAATCAGTCACAATGATGACATTATCACTTAGCAGAGGTGAAGCCTGTCAGCCTGGATGGAAGGAAGAGTCAGACAAAAGGAGTTACAGAGGAGGAGGAGGAAAAAGATAAAAGAAATAAGGAGGAGATGTATGTTCAAAGAGTCCCCAGAGAAGATTGTCAGTCACAGCTGGGGCAGCCACAGGGCTTCCTGTGTCAGGATTTACAAAACAGCCACCCAAAATAATCCACCACACAGAAAAGGGCTTGGGCAGTAAAATATGTTCTTGAGAAATGGCACATGGCAACAGGAAAAGCCAGTTTTTGTTTTGAGTGATTTGGTTTTGGAGAAAACAAAGCACTTTTTCCTACCTAGGAAATTTTTGCCTAAAAGATTCTGGAAATCTGGAGGTTTTGAGACAGCAGTGGTGATAAGTATAATTTAAATTCAGTGTGCTCCAAAACCAGATTTCATGGAGTCACAGAATTGTTCAGGCTGGAAAAGCCCTCTGAGATCATCAAATCCAGCTGATCCCAGCACTGCCAAGGCCACCACTGCCCCCTGTCCCCAAGTGCCACATCCACATGGCTTTTAAACCCCTCAGGGATGGGGACCCTGGGCCAATTCCTGAGCACCTTCTCCATCAATAAATCTTCCCCAAATCCACCCTGAGCTGCCCTGGCCCAGCCTGAGGCCGTTCCCTCTGCTCCTGTCCCTGTCCCCCAGCTGTGCCCTCCTGGCAGGAGCTGTGCAGAGCCACAGGGCCCCTGAGCCTCCTTTGCTCCAGGCTGAGCCCCTTCCCAGCTCCCTCAGGGATTCTCCAGCCCCCTCCAGCTCCCTCAGGGATTCTCCAGCTCCCTCAGGAATTCTCCAACCCCTTCCAGCTCCCTCAGCCCCTCCTGGGGCTGCAGCCCCTTCCCCAGCTCCATTCCCTTCTCTGGACACACTCCAGCCCCTCCAGTGTCTTTCCTGTTCTGGGAGCCCCAAAACTGCCCCCAGGATTGGAGGTGTGGCATTTCCAGCCACATTTCCAGTGTCTCCATATGGACTTGTGTTTGCAGAAGCTAAAATGAAAACCAGCTTTGAGAACAGCCCCTGCCATGGAACTGACCCCAGGGAAGCTCCTGAGACATCCCAGTGACCTCAACACCTGCCCCTCCTCTCAGAGACTGCAGAGCTCTGCTTCACCACCAAAAGTCAGGTTTAAACCAGACTAGCAACAAAAGAGAATTTTAAAGTTTGTTATTTTAAATAGCAGAGAAGTTAAATAATTTTAATGCTGCAGCTACTGGAGACTTTGATATTCTGGTGGTGCTGAGCTGATGGTTGAACTCAACGATCTTAATTAAATGTATTTTCCAGCCTAAACAATTCTAAAATTCCAAGATTATTGTTATTTAAATTGGCACTTTTGGAGACTATTCCCCCAAAGGAGGGTTTAAAGATACTCTTGCTACAGCCAAAGCCCTGCAGCTTTCCAGGGAGGCCAAACATGAATATCAATAAAGAGGAACTCTTGGGCTGCCACCCTGTTGAGGACTGCAGAAACTGAGCATATAAATGTGGTGTGAAGGAGTTTCCAGAGAAGCTCTGAGGCAGAGCAGCCCAGGTGAGCAAGGAGCACTGGATGCACTGGGCACACCAGGAAATGTCAATAAACCATCAGCTCAAGCTGCACAAAACTCAAACCTATCTGCAACTTGAATTTTTTGAGAAAAACATGAACTGGTGTTACCTCCCCTAAGGAATTTTATTCCTCTGACATCCCCAGACCTCAGCAGTTTGTGCAACCCTGTGTTCAGAGCTGTTTCCATCAGCTGTGACCACAGGCTTCCCAAAAAGTCCTGCAGGGTCCAAGCCACAGCCAAGACACACAGAGAGTGTCACTGCTGATTCCCCACTGGAGCAGCTTCAGGGCCAAATTCAGCACAGGAAAAATGAGCAACAGCCCCAGAAAGGATGAGAGCACCTGGAACTGCAGGGATGGGGTACCCAAAACAGAGAATGCCTTCACCAGCAGAAATTCCAGCCCAGCAGAAGGAAGAGCCAAGTGTCCAGACTGGTAGAGCATCCAGCTCTTTGTGCATCACCAGCATCTTGCTGGCATGGCCTGAATACCCAATTATTGCTTGCTAATGACATGTATTATTATAATAAAAATTATATATATATATCATTAACTGTCCCCAAAGTCACCTCACAGAGATACTTAGGGCAGAGCAGCCAGACAGGAGCTGTCAGCTCAATGATTTACTGCTTGAAGAACACAAATATTGTGTTCAGGGGTTTTGTCTAAGGAACCTCCCCAAAATTTACACACTTTAAAGTGACACCAGCCTGGCTGCAGGATGGGTCTCACCAACAAACAACTCCCTGTCAGGAGGGGACAGCCAGGTGGGGTTGGGCTCTGCTCTCAGGGAACAGGGACAGGAGGAGAGGGAATGGCCTCAGGCTGGGTTCAGTTTGGATATTGGGGAAATTTGGATATTGTTCCATTTGGACATTGGGGAAATTTGGATATTGTTCAGTTTGGACATTGGGGGAATTTGGATATTGTTCAGTTTGGACATTGGGAAAATTTGGATATTGTTCAGTTTGGATATTGGGGAAATTTGGATATTGTTCAGTTTGGATATTGGGGAAATTTGGATATTGTTCAGTTTGGACATTGAGGGAATTTGGATATTGTTCAGTTTGGACATTGGGGGAATTTGGATATTGTTCAGTTTGGATATTGGGGGAATTTGGATATTGTTCTGTTTGGATGTTGGGGAAATTTGGATATTGTTCTGTTTGGATGTTGGGGAAATTTGGATATTGTTCAGTTTGGACGTTGGG